CCTTCTCATCGTATGGCATCCTCCTCACCACACGGCGCCCTCCTGACCTGTCGGCGCTCTCCCCACCATACAGCGCCCTGCTGACTTGTCGGCACCCTCTTCACGGACAGCGTCCTCCAGATCTGTCGCAGCCCTCATCACCGTGCAGTGCGATCTCCTGACCTGTTAGCGCCCTCCTCGCCCGTCGGCGACATCTTCGCGTTCAGCGCCCTCCTGACCAGCCGGCGCCCTTTGCAACGCATGGCGCCCTCATCACCATGCATCGCCCTCCTGACCAGTCGTTCATCGTACAGCGCCCTCCTGACCTGTCGGCGCCCTCCTCACAACACATCGCCCTTCTGACCGGTTAGCGTTCTCCTCACCATGCAGACAATGCAACAGTGTACAATTAGGAAATCGTTAAGGAACCTATGTTTAACCCTCGCCGGACCTATTGGTTTTCTACATACGCGCCGGCCGAGGGGGGGGGGCGGGTACGACCCCCCCCCCTCGCCGTTTCGCCCCTGGTGGAGCTAGCGCGTCGCGGAAAAAACGAGCGTGTGCGCCGTTACGAGACGCAGAGATTGGTACCCGATTTTAAGGTCCTAGGTCAACCGGTGACCTCTGAGGTCAGGTCAAGTGCCCCAAGGTACGGTTCAGTTTTTGGTGAATAACTTCGCAAAAAAACGGCCGCAGAGCGCCGATTTTGGCAGCATCGTGTTCGTCTCGCTCAGGCGCGTCGAATGATATACTTTTTGTCCGGGTCAGGTCAACTTGGGGTGTTGACCTCAGGTCAAGGTCAGGTCAGCACCCCCAGGTCACGAAGTTGGTCGAAAGAGGTCATGTCGCATATCATTCGATTAGGCAGGTCTTCCTGAGTCCATTGGTGGCTTTCCCGACTCGCTAGCTCAATTTGATCAAGAGTTATTGACGAAAAACTAATATGACCTTGATGACGTCATAAATGACGTCACGCAAGGTCAACATTGCAAAAGTGACGCATCTAACCTTGCAAGGAGTGCATCAAATCACGATTCTGTGTGCTTGAGATAGTTGGAGATCGTTCCCGGCGCCAGAATAGCAGTTTGAATTTTTCCCCATTGACTTATAATGGTGAGGTCACGAAAATGACCTGACCTCATATGACCTTTAGGAAAAATCCGAGATATACAAGTTGTGGGACTCATAATGGATACTAGATCCTGCAAGTTTCATTTCCCTGTGACATCTCCTCTGGCAGTGAGGGCGTTGCGAAGTTGCGACATCTGAAGACCGTGCAGAGGTTCACTTATGACGTCATAGGTCAGTGACCTGACCTGACCCAAAAATGCGGTTGGTGTCAAAACATCCGGCTTGGATCAAAGGTCAGGTATGCCAAGTTTCAGCTCTCTATCGCCAGCGCGTTCGGAGCTATCGCGAAAAAAACCTATTGGCCCCCCCCCCTCGGCCGGCGAGGGTTAACCCTCGCCGGTACAGGCCATTTTGTCATTCGACGGCACAAGGGGGGGGGGGTTGGTACGAACCCCCCTCGCATTTGGCCCCTGATGGAGCTAGAGCTTCGCGGAAAAAACGAGCGTGTTGCCCGTCACGAGAGGAAGCCAATAATATTTAAGTTTAAGGTCCTAGGTCATCGGTTGACCTTCCAGGTCAGGTCAATGACCCAAAAATCGGGAATATCGGGACCTGTTAGAAAGTCGTAAAGTGTGGCTGCTAAGGGTTTTCCGGGGTGCTTATCACGAATATCGTGTTAGTTTTGATCACAGATGATGTCGTTAAGCGTTCAGACCAGGTCGGGTCAGGTCAGAGGTCAACCGGTAGGGGTCGTGACGGGTATTCGTAGTACCTGTCATCCGTCTCTGACAGCTTCGTAGCATGTTACGAAGGCACCAAAACTACTTCGTAAATGTTCAAATGGTTGCTATATTCGAATTCAGCTGCAAAAACTAGCCTAGAAACATGTAAAACTCGAAAAAGTGAACCGAGGTCACCAAAGGTCAATGACCTGACCTGACCTTCAGGTGACCTTGACACCCACCCTAATGCATGGGAGCAACATCAAATCACATGTTTGGACGATTGAAACCACGAAAAGCTTGCAAACGCGCGGCTAATGCGAGCCAACATACGCCGAATCGTGATTCCGGCCAAACATGGTCTCGGAAAAGAGGTCACAGGTCAAAGGTCATTTGGGTCAGGGTCATGAAATTTTCAGGGTAGGTGTAAAATTGATCAATGCGACGATACTGAAAGTTTCGTCGTGATCGGCCGCATTTTACGCGAGTCATTCGCGAAAAACCTTAGGGGGGGGGGGTTCCCCCTGTGCCGGCGAGGGTTAAAGGGACTATCCCACCTTTACATTAGGTTTGAGTTGAGATAGCCAAGTTTTCGGCGAGGTTCAGAAACCACTATCTATCTAGGTTGCAACCCCCGCGGCCTCGTGGTGTTGAAGAAATTCGTTCCCTTCATTTGAAAATGGGCCTTGTACAAGGCCCAATCTCTTAACCATTAACGGCATTCTGATGACGTCATTTGCCCTTTGAACGCCTCTTACGCATTCGAGTAGAGTATCACTTGATTTACGAATAAGCTGGCGTTGGCTGACTCGGCGCCCCGGCGGCACCCAGCGGCGGCCTCGGCGATAATAATTGGGTTTGGGCTTGGGTTTGGATAAATTTACCGTTTGTTTTATTTTTTCAATTTGTTTCCATTTCCTGAAATGGAAACAAGTTGAAGATTTGCTTGTCTAAGGCAGCAAGATTTATAAACATCGCCAAATTTATCATATGCAATTGGAGCTTGTTTCAGTTTTTATAGCAGGGTCATGAATATGATACAATTTTCTTTCAATGGTAGATTCGTCATGGTACAGTACAATTTCAATGGTTATTTCGAGTAATAATTTATGTCATTGAATTGAAACTGCAAGTACATCCCACAAAAGAGCTTATCCTCTTCAAGTTTCAGTCTTGATCCGACTGATTTGTCAAGAGTGCGAAAAGTGAGGCGACAAAAGAGAGCTACAGGTTTTTCAAGATTTAAGTGTTCTTGAATAGCAGGTTATACAACATTGTGCTGTGACATAACCACTGGGCCTTGTGCCCCCTGTGACAGAGCCCCTGCATCAGCTGGTCTGACACGGCTGGGCTCACAAGTCGCAAAGAACGTCTTGGTGCTCTTAATTATGATTGATGCTTGTGCTGTAAAAGAAGGGTACCTACATGGCAAAATACATTTGTATGTAATTTCTTGCCACAGCACCCACCTACATGTACATTTTTGTTGTCTTTGTGTGAAAAATGAATATATTTTAAGGAAATTAAGGCATTTCTGTTTAAAGCATGCAGAAATTCATGTGTGATGCCGTCCCGGTAACTCATGTGGAACAGAACAGGCTGCAGACTCAGATCGTGCTTGAACAGAGACAATCATCAGTTATCTATATATGCGCATGCGTTGTAAGTTCCCTGCCTTTTCCCAGATTCTACTTGCTAGTTGTGAAAAGGATCGGACAAGGCAAGGTACTCATGCTCATGGTGCCACCATATGCAATTACTGACAGGTGAATTCGGTGACTAAAATCCTTAACGCTCTATGGATAATTATTCTGCTCTTATGTTCAGTATGTTGATATCAGAAACTCACCGAGGTAACCTGCCCTGTGGCATTTCTTAGTTCAAAAATGTAAGCATTACACTCATCAGTCATGTAACTTGTATTTACATCCATGAACAAACAATGTGCAAAGGAGCTACCCAACCAGGTACAAGCAGTAGTGTCTACAGCGTACCGCCTCCGCAAGGGGCGCGCCCCTCTACAATGGGCATGCGCGAACCCCTTCTCTGCAATGGGCGCGCCGGCGAACGTACGCGAGCGATCACGGGTCGCCACCACCAGCTGGCGAGTGACAGCGCAAGGCCATAAAACTACGACGGCGGGCCCGGCAGCAGCCGGCGCTCGGCAGGCGCTACAGCGCGCGTTGTGGGGGGGGGGGGAGGCGTTGGACGCGGGATGGGCGCACAGTCGCGCACCACGACCGACGGCGACATCACCTGCTGCGTCTGGCTCGGCGAGCGCAGCTGGGAGCCGGCTGGAACAGACAGAGCGGCGTCACCCGGCGGAGAGACACGCGGGGGACGGGATAGACAGACACACGGGCCGACAAACTGGGAGAGATTCGAACGCCCGCACGGCAGCAGGGCAGGGAGCAAACATGCCCGCTATATTCACGTGTCGATTTTCATGACGTCAGTCTTGAGCACAAGCTGACTTCATCCCTACATCCCGTTTTACTTATAATCATAATCGAGGTCCTGGATCGGTATTCGGTACACCGGCTCAGTCACCTGTTGACGGCGGCGCACAGCGTGACCTACCCGCCCTTCAGCCGGCCCCAGCAGGGTGAGTAGTGAGTACTAATACCCGCCCCCATGCCAATGCCAAAATCACTAGCACTGAGAGTTTTATGGAAAAGCCCTCCTCAGCGGCCGGTATGAGCTGGCCGTGCGGCGGCCGCGACTGACCTGCGGCCGCTGAAGGTCTGGTGAGTCGGACGGGCACCTCCGGCACTGTCGGCAGGGCGGCCGATTTGAGCGCAGCGCTGTCCAGTCGGACTGACGGCAGCACAGAGACCAGCTGTCCGTGCAGGCAGTACCGGTGGCCCGAGTCGCTACTGCTGCGGACCCGGCCCGGTACCGGCGCCGGGTGGTGGCCGGCCGCGGCGGGGAGCGGGTCCGCCGTCCGCTCCGCGTCCCCTGCCGCCGCTCTCTGGACCGGCCGGAACGGTGACGGTGACCGCGCTGATCTGAAGGCACACCTCCAGACGCTCCAGGGCCGGCAGCCAGGCCAAAGTCGGAGCGGCGGGCGGCGCCGGCGGAGTGGGGGAGACGGCCGCCGCAGCGGGCCGTCTCCCCAGCAGGCTCAGGTGCAGGCCAGCAGGCTCCGGTGCAGCCGAAGCAGGCGGCCGCCCTGGCGCACGCTCAGCTCGCAGTAGTGGCACACCTGCTGTGAGCGGGTGTTGGGAGCCGGCCCACAGGGCCGGCGCCAGCAGCGCCTTCCAGTAGACCCAGGCTGAGGAGAGCGAGGCGACCTGGTGCTCCTGGGCGGGCTGGCCGTCGGTCGCGGCCGAGACCAGCACCGCCTGGTCAGCCGTCACCTGTAGGGCGCACGGGGAAAAGGGATACAGTCAGGAGCCGCGGCCGTAGTTATTCATTTCCAATCGACAATAGGGCATTGGAGCAGTGTTCCCGCCACTTCTAATGAGTAGTTATGTCGAGCCTACCACAGTGTACTTCACAACTAGAAAACGCACTCAACAATAATCACACAACAACGGCACACTCTCAGGGCCATTCTAACAAAACACCCGCGGTTATAATTAGCATTACTCGGTATAATGACTGACCGTGCATCGTGTGTGGACGTGGCAGTTGTAGAGCAGCGCAGCGGTCGGCCGGCGCCGCTCAAGCTGGGAGACACACCGGCACAGCCGGGAGGGTATATGGGCTGCTGCTCGTTCCACTGGATCGTCTGACAGCGCAGCTGGAGACGCACCTCACCGGCCTGAGGACGGGGGAACCGGGACAGATAAACAATACACCAGCAATGCTGGGAGACGCACCTCACCGGCCTGGGGACGGGGGAAGACTGGGTGATACAACCGGGACAGACAAATAACACAGCTGCTGTAGACGTATATACCTCCCCGGCCTGGTGACCGCGCGCGGGTGATGCGACTTCATAGATCAACAGCGATCAGCCGGATCATCGGAGCAAAAAAGCACGCATCTCAGGAGCCCATCTCCAGTTGCAAGTCTGCGATCATATCTCAACGCCTAACTGCAGCAGCTCTTCAAACAATGCAGCTGATGCTGCCTTTTCGAACATCCCCGCTATGCACGGACCCACGCCGCCCAGCTCCCCGTTGGCGGCCACCACTGTCAGCCGCCGCCCCTTCCTCCGCTGCGCGGAGACCCACCTTTTCCAAGTCTCCATGGCCAGCCACCACGGTGACTCGCGGCTCCAGCACCGTCAGCTACAGGCCGCGAGCCGGGGTGTTGGCCTCCAGCGCCGCCGCCTCTCCGTGCGGCACTGGGCCCGGGCGGGCCTCTCCGTCCGCTGCGGGAGAGGGCAGAGGGTAGAGGAGAAGGTCAGGGCGGGCCTCCCCGCCTGCAGCAAAACAGGGGGAAGGAGCGGTCAGGTGGGTCTCCCCGTCCGCTGCAGGAGAGGGCAGAGGGGCGTTAGTGATAGTGGGCAGATGAAACGGAATGTTTATTTCAAAGATATACGCTTTCTCACTAGTACGGCAACTACACTTCTCAGGTGAAAATCGCTGATATAATTGGGACGCACTGCCGAAAAAGAAGGAACTTGCAAGTCACAAGCAGCGATGGGGACGACTCATGAAGAACAGTGCATCATGTTAAACAACTTCAAGCTAACTCTGAGCGCTACTCAGTACACACTACTCACCCTGCTGGGGCCGGCTGCAGGGCGGGTATTGGTACTCACTACTCACCCTGCTGGGCCGGCTGTAGGGCGGGTAGGTGACGCTGTGCGCCGCCGTCAACAGGTGACTGAGCTGTCAGAAAGTCACACGTCAATAAACGAGTCTTTTCTACACGCTGCGTCTAAATCACTCTAATGGACGTTACAAAAACACGCCAGGATTCTACGATCCTTGTCCAGTTTCTGCAGCAGCAGCGCGAGTCACTGGCAGCGCTGTTGCTGCCAGACGACAGCCGTCGGCGCCCGGCGCACGCGCGCCGCGCACCGGTCGGCGTGTCAGCTGGTAGCGGCTGTGCGCCGCCAACGCCGGCGCAGCAGCTGGCGGAACACGACAACCTGGCGGGACGCATGGCCGGGTCAGAGGGGGAGTGGGAGCCGACAGTGTCAGCCACATCACAGTGGATGCCTACCTCACCCCACACTGACAAAGTACCACCATGCCAGGAAAATGTTTCACCTCAGAACAGCATGAACCTAGAAAGAAAACAGGATTGCATAGCTCCTGTATAGAATAGTCATAGACATAAAGCATAGACTCAAATTATTGAGCCATAGCCAAGATTTTACTGAGGGAGGGGCCACAGGTCGCGGCCTAGTGTCGTACCCCCTCCAAAAAGGAAAACTTGGATTTGGCCCACTATTTTTGGGGATATGGTACAGCTGTTTTTATTTATCTTTATTTTATTTTATTTAATTTCTCGCCTTTGGGGTAGACCATGACAGCCGTGGCCACTCCCTTGGCTACATCCCTAGATTGAACGAAGAAGCAAATTGAAGAAGCAGCTTTGACCATAGGCGCAAACATAATATGGAACAGACTACATTTTTATGCAGTATCTTATGAAGTCAACATTGCATGCTTTATATAGGCAATCTAATCTTCACCAATCCATTTTGTTAAGCACTTATCTACTTTTCTAGTTTCAATTTAATGGTCAATGCTCATATACATAATTATCAGCATTCAAATATATGATGCTGAGACATGTTCAATCTCTGACCAACTCCCTGTATACAAAAGAAATAATTGTAGCATTATGCATAGGGTCATAACTTACTGATCACTTTCTGTCAACAGCCTGCAAGCAGCATTGCGATCTTCCCTCCACAGTGACGGAGACCTCTGTCATGTGCGCATGGTGTGTTGTGTTGTGTTGGCATTCAAGAAATTTCAACAGCTAAGAAGGAAAAACAAAACATTTCTTTAAATACCTGCATGTTTGCTATAATAGCAAGCTAGGATGCAATGAGTATAAAAGTATACAAAAATCCCAATCAATAGGTTCAGAATGGAATAGGTTGTGAGGTGTTAGGTACTGTAGTAGGCTGGTTGAAAGGTTTGTATGTTGTAGACATCTGGCATGGGTGTTTTAGGTTGGTATTAAGGGTATTACAAACTTTTTAGGAAAGTAGGTCTTGGTAAGGTTAGGTCAGGAACGTTGGTTATTTTCATTCAAATTTCACACTTGTTCACTTTAATTGTATTCAAAATTGACACAATTTTTTTAAAAGTTATGGTGAAAATATGTTCCTTTCCTATGTGAATTGTGATGTTAGTATTTGAATTTTATACCTATGCCGGAAGTCAAACATACTTACATTGACTATCATACCACCAACCAACCAACTACAAAATGCCCAATCAGAGACACTTTTGCTATTGTATGAGCCGCGTCATATTTGAAAGCAAATATATTTGCTGCCAAATTTCCCCCTTCATTGGCATGAAGTAAATCCTTCATTAGGTCACAGATCCGATCTAAATGACGTCACGATGAAATATAAAAGTCGCAATATTTCAAAAAGTATACAATGAAAACGCGTAAAAACTTGCAGAATTCGTCACAGTGCCCTAAGTAATATTTCCGAATCCTAAACGGGATTTTTTCGAAGGTGGGATAGTCCCTTTAAAGGTAGTGTGCCAGCTTTCTTGGACCGTATGGAGTTAATGGCCCAGATAAGGAGAACCGGATTTTTAGAACATATCCATACCTTCAAAACTCATGGAAACGTCTTAAATTCTTCAAATTTTGAGTACCCCAGTGCGAAATTCGCCCCGACGGGTTGTCGGTCGTACCCCAACCACATTTCACATCACTATGAACAATAAATGCACGCACTGAAATCGCTATTACTGTATGCCTGGCCTATTCAAATACATTAGCCAGAGGGGTGTGGTAATAACTGGTGTAAGCAAATTGACCACGGTCAAAAATGTATTACCAGAATGCACTTAAGCCAACATTTTGGGATGGTCTCGTTCCTAAGTCGGCTAAGAGCTTCGGTCCAGAAAATAAATTTATCGTTGGCATACAGTAAAATACATACCAAACTCGGCCGGTGATAAATTTTCAAGACCTCAGTCCTTACTGATTTTTGAACTCGGCCTTCGGCCTCGTTCAAAAATCCAGTAAGGACCTCGGTCTTGAAAATTTATTTACACCGGCCTCGTTCAGTATTATATAATACTGAACGAGGCCGGTGTAAATAAATTTTCAAGACCGAGGTCCTTACTGAATTTTTGAACGAGGCCGAAGGCCGAGTTCAAAAATCAGTAAGGACTGAGGTCTTGAAAATTTATCACCGGCCGAGTTTGGTATGTATTTTACTGTATGCCAATTGCCAACGATAAAATAATTGTTTAGACCGAAGCTCTTAGCCGTTTTTTGAACGAGGCCATCCCAAAATGTTGACTTGGTAATTCGTTTTTGACCGTGGTCAATTTGCTTACACCAGTTATTACCACACCCCTCTGGCTAATGTATTTGAATAGGCCAGGCATACAGTAATATATATTACCGATATGCTCATCCAATCAAGTTTCGATAAACCCGTTCATCATCAGCTCCTGCGGTTTCGAACACGCCTGTTAGTTGGCTTCTGATGCTCGTCGAGGTCGGAATTTCCAAATACGCGTGGTGCGTCGGGCCGCGCGCTCTGACTTCGGCCAAGAAAAATGCGTCAGCTGATTATTGTCATTTCTGCCACTTGCGTGTGGTGAAATGGGGTCATAACTTATAAGACGGCTTTTTCATATCAATTATTTTACATAAAATCATATTTCAAACCATAAATAATGTTCGACAGCCAAATAAAAGAAACAATACCAATACGGGCTTACAGTTTAAGGCTCGACATTGTGTTGTCTACGATTAGACAGCTGATAACTCATTCCCGTACGTCGTATGGTCGTAACACTATAATGACCTTTGCTTATTGTCACAAGTGCGCCGCATTCGCGATTGTTGCCCGACGCCTGTTTGCAGGTGAGCCCACTACAGTTGTTATACATATCTAAAAACCGATAAACTTTTAGGCGAAAAAGGCACTATTCCAGGCCCATTTTTGATTTTTTTTGCGATATTAGGTAAAAACAGAAGCTTCTTATCCTAGGAAAAATAAAATGGGAAATCTTTCAAAGGTGGCACACTACCTTTAAAGTGATTTTAGGCGCGAATTAGTAATGAAGCATTTTCCGGAAAATAAAAGCATGACAACGTTTCTAGCGTTTCCGGAACGTTTCCGGAAAGGAACTTGTTTACAACCGTGACCCTCAAAATCATATGCAAGGCCAAACTTGCGGCGAAGGCCAGCTGAGAAGTGAACGCCCCCGTGACGTCACGGCTAATGTTAAAGAGTCGGGCGCCCGGCACATAGGAAAGCTCGGGATGACCGCCCCCTGCTGAAAACACGACCAATCACTCCGATTTTCCATAGATAAATACATAGAAAATGTATGTCTCAACTGCGCCAAATATACACAGTTATGTACCTACATGTGACGTCATGATTAGCCCGACCAATCAGAAGCAAGTTGTTTTCAGTCACAAATAATTAATTTCTGAGCTAACTAGGCTTTTTTAAGGAAATGATTTTAGATTAAATCATTTAAAATTCTGAGCTTTCTTATTTTACCAAAACATACAGAGCATGCAGATAGGTCCCAACCCTATTGTCACATTACAACCCTAGGCCGCTATGAAGCGGCCAATGCATGTGTATGCTCTGACCACATGCTCTCTGGTGCTAGGATGCCCCAGGAGGAGACGAGCACATCAACCTGAAGGTGATGGGGCAGGACGGCTCTTCAGTCTTCTTCAAGATAAAGCGACACACTCCATTTCGGAAACTGATGACGGCCTACTGTAATCGTGTGGTAAGCAGCTCTGTATTCTTACTGGTGTTTTAAGCTCTCGTATGGGATAGTCGCTCGCTTATTATGGTTTGCGTGTACAGGGTGTCCCAGAATTGACCGAGCATTTAGTTCCTGGCTAAAAGTACGATTGCGCTCGATTCTAATTAGATGCGAACATTATACTTTTATAAGACATACCTTAGCTATCGAGCTTGGAGACTGTGTGTTTTTTGGTGACCGGTTACGACTCGAGTCAGTTATTATCCAGAGTCAGCAAAGAGTAGTCCCTTTTCGTTTTCAGCCTCAGCAAACGAAAGGCAATCATAGTAAAATAAAGTACAATTCTGAAGTTCGTAAACGGACTTTCTGCATGGTTCTTGCTGGAGAGCTCCAGTAGCTCATTAGCAAGCAGGCAGGGGTGAGCAAACCGCAGTTATATCAGTGAGCGAAGCCAGAGAGAGCAAGAGATAACCTGATCGACAAGCCTGGGCGCGACCAAAAAGGAGCATGCACCAGTCGTCAAGCGGGTGGTTGCCATGTCATGGACAACAAACGCCACCCATCTACCCGAAAACAAGCTAAACGACAGATCAGGGTTAGCTACGAAACATCAGTCTACTTTTGACCACTATCTTCGACAAAATTTTGGAATTCGGGGCCCATCATCTGAAAAATATGCCAAAACTAACGGAAAGACAGCGCGAATCGCTACAAAGCAGCCATAAATCATAACATATGCAACAAAAAAGTGAACACATATGCAACAACAAAAGTGGAAACACACTTTGTGGTCTTACGAAGGTATTCTGCCCTTTGAAGCGACACAAAAAAGTCGTGTGTGGACGTCAGATGGTGACAACGCCCCAACAGCCGAGACGGCCAGGCACTCGTCGAAAATCAAAGTGTGAGACATTTTGAGCCACGGTGCGCTCCTTCGGCTTCACGTGATGCCCCAAAGACGACCGTTGACCCGCGCCGGGCCGGTGCTCCGCGACTTCCGCGCCGGGCCGGGGGGGAGGGGGTGTCTGAACATCCCCCCCGTCTAACTCGGCTCCTGGGCCACGTAGCGACACGCGGTAAGCGGCATTCGAAAGAGCGTCAAAAATAATGACGGAACCACTTCGGTCATTTTTTGGGTCAGGTCAAAGGTCAGGTCGCCAGAGGTCATCAAAGGTAAAAATTTCAACAACCTTGGAAACTGCCAACGGCTAACTCGGGAACCAATAGAGCTACAGCGCCACGGAAAAGCGCATTCGATAGCCCTTTTACAGACCTTTCTGAGTTTTGCTCTCAGATTTGACCTCAGGCTAACGGTTTAGCCTCCAGAGGGCAAAAACTGTAAAAAGAGCAGTTTTCACGAAAATGGTTTTTCGTCAATAACTTTTGACTTAAGAGAACCACGACATTACTTTTGGCAGCATCGTGTTCCTCTCGTCGAGACGCGTCGAATTTACTATTTGTTGACCTTGAAAGGTCATTTTGAAAATTTGACTTCAGGTCAAGGTCATGACCTGACCGGAAAGGGTCAAGCTGCATATTAGTCGATCCGTATCGTCGAGCTGAATACATCTGACGTGTTTTCATCGCTCTAGCACGTCTTTATCAAAAGTTATAGCCAAAAAACTGTTGGTGACCGTTCATGACCTGAGATGACCTCAGGGGTAGACAGAGGGGTCACAAATGCATTTTTCCGATTCAGTGTGTCATGTTTACCTTTGAACCGATGTTTGAGAGGTTTTTGAACATCATTCGTCCAAAAGAGGCGCATTTCAATTTTCTCCCATTGACTTATAATGGAGAGGCCGCAAAATTAACCTGAGCTTAGGTCACGGATATCAATATTCCGAGGTATACATTTTATAACTACTGTTACTTTTATCAATCGATGAAAGTTTCAAGACAATCCGTTCACTCGGTGTAGCTATGACGAGCATTCTATTTTTTCTGAGGTGAGGTCACTTGACATCACCTGGTGACCTGATCTTGAGCGACCTGGGTCTGAAATTCACACAACCTGTGCGGAAAAGATGCACGAACAGGTGTGCCAAAAACGGCGGCGCGGAGCGCCGCTGTTCTTTAGATATCTGCGAAAAACCGCAGGGGTTCAAACACCCCCCGGCCCGGCGCGGGTTAACACAGATTGCTACTGCGGTAATATTCAAGCATTATAAAAACTGGTTGTCGTGAACTGAATGGCCATAAACGGGTTTGTTCTGGAAACCAAATCTGTTGGAAGCCAAAGGTCACGCCATGTTCAGGCATGGAGGTTCTCCACTTCAGATGTAAAAAACAGCGCAACAGTGGTGTAGGCAGAATTTTTGGTTTTGGGAGAGAATGCCTTATGGCCTGAGAACAGTTTGGATGCAAAGCTAATCGAAAATATTTATATTATCCACCGGCAAGAGGTCAATGAAAACCGTCTTACAACCAGTTTCGGGAGACCCGTAAAACAACTGAAGCCAGCATCGTTTGGCATTTAGCTACAACTGTCGGCTAATGTTGTAGCTAGCGTGTCTATTACATGTGCCATTTCGAAGCTACCCTTATTGGCTATATCGGACGATAAAGTGCAATTATTTTTTCCCTCATCTTATGCGCTGATTAACAGTGTTCGGTCAATTCTGGGACACGCTGTAGTTTTGCCATTGACAGATTCCTTTGATATGTCAAAAATTTGGTTATTCGGTACGGACTGGCCTGGCTCGGGCTGCGCTCATGCTATTGATTGGGAGTGTATCGCTGTCGGCCGGGATCCGTGGGGCAGTGTGTGTGGTTGGGCGGATGTGTCCCGCTCACGCTGCTGCTCAGTACGCGCCGCACGCCCGTCTGGCCGTCAGAACATGTCTCTGCACGCGGTGCGGTTCCGGTTCGACGGCGAGCCGGTGAGGGAGGTGGACACGCCCCAGACCATGTCCATGGAGGACGGCGACGCCATCGAGGTGTTCCAGCAGCAGACCGGCGGACGGCGCCGGCCACCGACCGGCTCCGGGTCGTGATACCGCCCACCGGGCACCAGCCAAACTCGGCTCGGGGACTTCCTTCGCGTAAGTGGCCGAGTCGCCCGGAAGACGTGCTATCGCCCAGCCAGAGACCGGGCAGCGGTGGAGACAGTTGCGCTCGCTGCCGCCGCCGGTCGGGGAGTGCAGTCCGAGTTCCGCGCAGTGGCGCCGAGACCGGACTCGGTGTGCTCGGGTCGGCCGGGAGGGTGCAGTGCAGCGCTCGGAGCCGGTGCGGCCACGGCGGTCTGCGCCAGCCGGTAGCCGGTGGACGGCACTTGTCCGCGCGCCGGCGCTCTCATCATCGTCATCATCGCTCAGCGCGCCGCCGGGTGCCGCATGTTCATCGCCTGTTGGTGCGCGTCAGGGACCGAATATACGTTTTACTGTTGTCACCTGTAGAACGAAAACGATGCGGAGCGGTTGGCCGCTGCCGCGCTCGTCGCTCTCGGGGGTCCGGGCTTGTCTGAATCCACGACGAGCCGATCGGGGCGACCTCTGGCCAGAGTGCGGTCGCTGAAGGCCTCTTGTCACCCTATCTCATCGTTCCTGCTTCCTGCGGCCAGTTCCTGGTCTGCGCAACATGGCGGCACCGTTGGACACCATCTGGCGGCCGATGCGCCTTCCACATTATAGAGTTCTGTGATGAAATTATGAATGACCTACGAGTTTCGCCACCTATGCCTCGCACTGCACTGCATAAACGCGGTCATATTTATACTTCTCTGTAAAGGGGCGATCTGTTTTTAGTTTTGACGAAATGTAATGAGGAATGCCGAAATTAGCATAGTGGTGTTCTGGTGAGTGACGAAGGGATATAAAGAAATAACGAAGCATGTATCCAAATCGTCAAAGTTTTTGCCGGAATTCAATCAGTTATGGCGACTAGCGAATGTTATACCAACTACAAACTGTGGAGTGGGATCAGCATTCCGTTTTGCCCATATGCTGAAGGTTTTGCCGGAATGCCTCTCACTGGCGCCACCTGTGTGCTGATCCGACGAATGGGTTTTGCTGATTGGTCATCGAACAACGCAAACAGGGTTGGCAAAATGTCGGCATAAACTTAGTTTATGCCAGTCAGTGGCAAAAACTAGTTTTTGCCAATTTATGCCGGCAAAAACTGACAAAAACTGACATAAACTGACAAAAACCCTCACTGAAGCATTGTTACAATTCAAGTGTTAGTGCAAAATTTACGTGTAAAGTAATACAATACCAACCAGAATAAAACATTTAACACTATTTGGTAGTCAAAATGCACAAGTACACACATCAATTATCAGAATATGTAACCCCAGTTAATAATTTGGGTGAAATGTTACCAAATGCTTGCTCTTAATCTCCCAGCAGACTCACCTACTCTACCAATCAACATAAGAAATACCTTGGCTTGAATAAAAATTAACCACATCCACAAATCCACAATCTTTACTTGTGAAATATTTCTCCTGGATTTTGATGTCTGATGGTGTTTGATTAAAGAGTGTTGACGTTATTCCTTAGTCATCCTCATTCCTTACCCTTTCACTTCGTATTGATTTGTATTGCTTTAATTTTCACATTTTGATGTCAAATTAAAGGTAAAAACATTTCCAGATGTAAGTTACGACAAAAAGGCGCAAATGGCAAGAACTCATTCCATTCAAGTTTATGCCAATTTTTGCCAGTAAGTGGCAAAAACAGGTATGCCAGTCAATTTATGCCGCGGTTAAAACCGGTTAATATCACTTGGTGCCGGTGGCATAAACTCGCCAACCCTGCGTTACGCAAAAAGGTGTAAGGGAGACCCGGGAGGTAGGTATGGGCCGGTTTTGTGAAATGACATTTTCCTTCCCATGAGCAGTAGCTAGACCTAATTTTTCACTTTTGCTACGTAATAATGCATTTCATCTGTTAAGTGTGCCTCACTCATGTCAGGCATCTGGGATCAACCATCTTGTCTCGAGGTAACTTCTAATAAATCATGCGCCTTTTCGATCCATCAAAATACCCCGGGAGGTATGGGCCATGGCCCGGGAGGTATGGGCCGGTGCCATGTTTTATATTCTACTCTCGACATTGAGCACAATACTCGTATCTGGGAATTGGGATCTACCTTGAGCTCTCTAGGAGCCCAAGTACCGCATTAGCGGCCAACAACCCACTTCATGGAGGTCAATTTGCCACATATTGTGTTGGGTAAGCTCAATCACGCTCCATGACATGAGACAAATAATATTTTTGTGCACTGACCTAAATGCGATTTGTACTTAAATTTTTTGACCACGCACGACAAAAATAACTTATTGAAGAGGACATTCAATGAAAACATCGTTTTAATAATTTAGGATCACCGAGGGTGGGTGGCCCGAACCTCCCGGTTAGGACGCCAGAATAGGCATGCGTCGCATCTCAGTGCATAATCTTGCAAGAAAGCTTCAAATGGTCTACCCAGCCTTAAATTGCATGCTTTAAACTTGATGTTAGCGGTGGTGTGACATAATAAAACGAGCCTGGTTCAAATAAATCACGATTTTCTGCATCTACCATAGTTTACTCGAAGAGGGTGAAAACGCTTAATCACCGCTCACTGACAAGAGAGACTGAGGATGATTCGGAAAATCACGTGGGTTGTGTAACAAAATGGCTGCTACCAGTTTACGCCGTCAAATTAGAAAATATACGCAAAACGTCTTCAAAACGGCGATAGCCCATACCTCCAGGGACCCATACCTCCCGGGTCTCCCCTACTTAACTAGTAGGGTGCCGTGCAAAAGTCAGTTGGGAGTTGGGACCCAGCTGACACGTGCGCAGCCAGAATCTGCTGTGGGCCCTGGCAGGCTTAAGTGCGGCTTGCCCAATGTTTCAGTGGGGCTTAAGTCCGCTAGGGCTCGGGTTCAACTCAACGTATGACACAAAACGCCGACTAAGTCCGTGCTCCCCCGGAGGCATGCCCGCTCTGCGAACTCCAGACGGCCGTATATAATTAAGCCCTATTTGTGACGATTGGCGCCAGCCCAACGTAAGCCTGACGCTGCACGTGATTGACACGAAAATGCTCATGTGTGAACAGACGAACAAGTGTCGCTTAGCTCCGGGTTTACTCCAGTCAGCCGAAGCAGACAGCCGGCCGGATCAGCCCGCGCTCCGCCCAAGTTGAGCCTGATTTGGATGGGCGGGTCTATGTCGGGCTGAGCTGGAGCTAGCCGCATTGGGGCACATCCGTGGCGTGTCCCAGTTAAGCCGTCGTAGAAAAATCATTGATGTTGATCCAAGTTGGCAAACCCAAGCTAAGCCCAAGCCACCCGACGTTTGCCAAGTTCAGCCCGAGCACATTACTGGCTGGGCACTGGAGACCGTCTCTGTGCAGCCGGGCAACACAAACTGCACGGTAAGGTAGAGTGATCTGTAATTTGCCAGCAACACAAACAGGCACAAACTGAGGCGGTATTGGACGCGCGCGCACTGTCACAAACAGGTCCTCGGCCCGCTGACGTGGAGCAGCTCAGGGATACAAACAGATGACCACGCTCAACGGTCTCACGTACAGGCGCAGTGCCATCTTGGTCCATGGGTAAAATGTCCTTTGATTCGGTTCCCAAGGAGTGCTAGTGTTTACATACATTAACGCTCACTCCTATCTGCACCCGTCTCCGCTGAGGTAACCGAACAATACCGGAATAATCACAGTGCGGTCTGACGCGCCCGGTCGGCAGCATCAGACGGAGCTCCTCTGGAGGTTCACATAAGACATATCGCACCACGTAACACGCAATGCCCGCGCTGGCCGACAGCAGCAGCTGGGTGCTATCTAGAACCCTGCAGACTTCGGCGGCAATCAGGCCGCCTGTCGGCCCATCACTGACCTAAAACTGTGGGCCGGGCCGCCGCGTGTGGCGCCTAGCCGTCCTCGGACGGCGCGTCCCCGCAGTGGACGGCCGGCGCCTTGACGCGCCGGTGGACGCCGGCTATGGCTGACTCGGACGGCTCCTGTGCCCGAGACGGCTCCTGCGAACCAACAGCCACCTCCGTCAGTGCCGCGCGGACAACACCGACCAAACCGTCACCAGCTGCGGACCTACCCCCCCCCCGTCCAACCTCGCCAAATCCGTGGCGCTCCTGCACAGAATGGCGCCTTCAGCTTGCGTCCATGGATCAGCCGCGCTGGCTAGAGGGGGGAGGGGGGCACTGACCGGGTGTTGGTGAGGCCGAGGGGTTGGGGCCATTGGCCAGGTGCTGGGGTGTTGGTGAGGCCGAGGGGTTGGGGTCACTGACCGGGTGTTGGTGAGGCCGAGGGGTTGGGGCCATTGGCCAGGTGCTGGGGTGTTGGTGAGGCCGAGGGGTTGGGGGCACTGACCGGGTGTTGGTGAGGCCGAGGGGTTGGGGCCATTGGCCAGGTGCTGGGGTGTTGGTGAGACCGAGGGGTTGGGGCCACTGACCGGGTGTTGGTGAGGCCGAGGGGTTGGGGCCACTGACCGGGTGTTGGTGAGGCCGAGGGGTTGGGGCCACTGACCGGGTGTTGGTGAGGCCGAGGGGTTGGGGCCACTGACCGGGTGTTGGTGAGGCCGAGGGGTTGGGGCCACTGACCGGGTGTTGGTGAGGCCGAGGGGTTGGGGCCACTGACCAGGTGCTGGGGTGTTGGTGAGGCCGAGGGGTTGGGGCCACTGACCAGGTGCTGGGGTGTTGGTGAGACCGAGGGGTCGGGGCCACTGACCGGGTGTTGGTGAGGCCGAGGGGTTGGGGCCATTGGCCAGGTGCTGGGGTGTTGGTGAGGCCGAGGGGTTGGGGGCACTGACCGGGTGTTGGTGAGGCCAAGGGGTTGGGGCCATTGGCCAGGTGCTGGGGTGTTGGTGAGACCGAGGGGTTGGGGCCACTGACCGGGTGTTGGTGAGGCCGAGGGGTTGGGGCCATTGGCCAGGTGCTGGGGTGTTGGTGAGGCCGAGGGGTTGGGGGCACTGACCGGGTGTTGGTGAGACCGAGGGGTTGGGGCCACTGACCGGGTGTTGGTGAGGCCGAGGGGTTGGGGTCACTGACCGGGTGTTGGTGAGGCCGAGGGGTTGGGGCCACTGACCAGGTGCTGGGGTGTTGGTGAGGCCGAGGGGTTGGGGCCACTGACCAGGTGCTGGGGTGTTGGTGAGACCGAGGGGTCGGGGCCATTGGCCAGGTGCTGGGGTGTTGGTGAGACCGAGGGGTTGGGGCCACTGACCGGGTGTTGGTGAGACCGAGGGGTTGGGGCCACTGACCGGGTGTTGGTGAGGCCGAGGGGTTGGGGTCACTGACCGGGTGTTGGTGAGGCCGAGGGGTTGGGGCCACTGACCAGGTGCTGGGGTGTTGGTGAGGCCGAGGGGTTGGGGCCACTGACCAGGTGCTGGGGTGTTGGTGAGACCGAGGGGTCGGGGCCACTGACCGGGTG